GGGAAGAACAGGACTGTCACATAAGGTGAAGCTCAAGAGCTAAACAGGCCCTATCATTCAGTGTACCTCATTGGCTGTACGTTAAGAATTTTTCCTTTTAGTCTGGGGTTATGGGAAGCCATCAAGGAGCTTTAGGTACAAGAATGTTCCATCTGATTTTTTGTTTTTAAAAGAATACCTTGGCAAGGTCAGCGGGTGATGTGGTAGCTAAAGGCACTGGATTCCCACATGGCCGACTGCAGTTCAAGTCCAGACCTGGCAGCTTGCTTTCTCACTTTACCTTTCTCTCTCTCTGGTAAAATTAAAAAAAAAAAAAAGAATAAGTGGAATTAAAAATAAATAAATAGATATTGATATTTAAAAAACAAAAAAGAATACTTTGGCTATAAAGGGAAAATGGATTGGAGAATCAAAACCAGTTTAAAAAAAAGCTGCTATCATGGTCAAAAGGTGTCAAATGCTAGGAAAATAGTAGCAGTGGACAAGGAAGAAGTGTCTAGATAGAGAAAAAATTTAGGTGGCAAATGCAGTAAGACCTGGCTGTTTGCTGAATATGGACATGAAGGAAGAGAGGAGTAAATAATGGATGGACAGTGATGTCCTCTAACACAAAGGGCTCACAGTAAGACAGCAGTGGGAGTTCAATTTTGAACATGCTGTGTTTGAGGTACTCTCAAGATATTCAAGTGGTGGAACTGACTGGACAGATATCGTAAAGAGTTCAGAAGAAAGGTCAGGACTGAATATATAAATGTGTGGAGAAGAAGACACAGATAACTAAAGTCATAGGACCAACTGAGATTTTCCAGGAAGAGAGCAAGAAGAAAAGAGAATGTTAAGAGAATGATAAGAAACTGCAACTCTTGATAGGCTGAAGAAGAGAAGGTTTGATCAGTTTAGAGGAAGACACAGAAATGAAATGAGATGTGTGTGTGTTCTTACAGAAACCCAAGTGACAGGAGAGTGTTGGGAGTTTGAATGCTGAGAGAGCACAAGCAAAGGAAGAGAAACTTCTAAGAATTCTAGGAGCTACTTGTGGTAGAATAAAAAATGAGAGACCTTGGAAAAGGGTAAGTGAATATGTAAACCTTCAACAAGTTTGGCTAAGAAGGGAAGATAAAGTAATACCTTGCAGGACAGTAGGATCAAAGGTTTTTAGGTTGATTTTAAAAAGCAGGAGACTTGATAACATTTAATTATTGATTGGAAGGAAGCAGAAAGAATAGATCAGTATCCTATACAGACAAATGCATGCACAAGTTTCCTTTGAAGGACACAGGATCCAGTACACAGGTAGAAACAAATCTTTCCCGCTATAATAGGAAGAAGAAAATGACCAGTTTCTGCAGGTACATATAGCTCTGCAAATTTTATAGCAGAGAGCTGGGGTTTTTTGCCCTAGTGATTCTATTTTCGCCATAAAATATATAGCAATATTATCTGCTAAAAGTAAATAAAAAGAACAAAAAAGGAACCTGGAACTTTGGAGAGAAGGTCTGAAATAGTTAATACAGAGAGAAGGTAAGTACACTGAATGGAAAAGCACAGGAGCTTTACCAGACAGTGATGAAGCACAGAGGAGGCTCATAACTGTGATGTTCCAATGCTTCCCATATGCCCAGTTGTGTTACTTTCCTCAGCACCGTTCTGCAGCCCAGGGGATGACAGTTGGATTCATCTAGGACTGCAGTGTCTGCCAGTGAATTCAATAAAATGACTAAGGGACACGGAGGTGTGGAATATTAGCAGGCCTGACTGAAAAAGTGAATAGGAAACTGTTGACAGAGCTCCGAGCTGATGTGTGTGTGTGTGTGTGTGTGCATGGTGTGGGGGGAGGGGAATGGGAAAACAGCAGACGTAAAGTCTTATTCACAGCTCAAGTTCAAGACTGATAAATGGCCTTCAAGAGTACCTGAGAAAGGAATATAAAAGTCCCTCAATAGTTTGTGAATTCACTGACACAGTAACATAATATGGCAGCTACACTAAAGCGTAACTTCCCCAATGAAACAAACTTGACTCCAAAATTATCTCAAGGAGGCGTCACCAAACTAAGACAAAACATCACTCTCAGGAAGACCTAGAAACACTTAAAAATTGGTTGCTAAAGAAAATGATTTAAAAGTTTAGGTAGCTCTGAATCCCCCACCAAACGCTTGGTCTCTGCATTGTTACTTGGAAATGCTAGTATTATTGGAAGTAGAAACACAAATTGAAAAAAAAAGGGAGAAAGAAAGGAAAGGAGAGGAGAGGGTGAATTGTAATAAGTGAAGATCAAATAATAGGGTGTGAATACTGTATGTGGAGTACAAAGAGAGAAATAAGTTCTGAGGAGAGGATCAAACTGTTATAAAATCAAATGAAAAATGCAAGTTAACAGTACTTTAACCATTGTAAGTTTTATATAAACACAGATGAAAATTGTGGGGGCATGTATGCATTTTTCCATGGTGTTATTCTTTAATAAGAGTATTTACTACACTAAATACTATATAAAATAAAGATTCATCTCAAGATTTTAAATAAGCTTAAACAAAGATGAACATGTTACATACAAAGTCTTCTTTGGCACCAAGTCGATTTTGCCTGTCTTTTTCTAAGAGTTCCTCCAGAATGGACCAGGCTGTGAGGCTCACTCCTGGCCTCAAATTTAGGGGCTTATGAAGAATATTTTCATACATTTCAGCAACATCTCGGCAATAAAAAGGAGGCTGAAAAAAATAAAAAAGCAAAATAAAGAAACTTAGTGGTAACTGATTTATGCCAAAAACGGGGTTAAAATAAGTGGATTTGGCTTTGAGCTACAGGGAACAGTTGGGTCTGGATAGTTGCAAAACTGCACCAGCCTACCAGGGCATATACATCTGCAATGTACCCTTCTGAAACAGAGATTCTAAAACCCAGTACACCACAGAGCTTCATAAATGTTCACTGAATGAATTAAGACCAGTTTGTTCAACAGGACCTTGCACAGTCCTGTATTGTAAAATGACTCTTAATTCAATGATACACTTGGCTATACCATTATAGCTTAGGCAGAGGATAGGCTACATAGCCACCTGAATATGTGTAAGTACACTCTATCATGTTTGCATAATGACTGGCTAGTCTAATGACATACTTCCAGACGATACCCCTGTCATTAAGCAGTGTATATAAAACCGTAGATAGCTGTTAAACTGCAGACAACTTGTAATAATAATCTATTTTAGAGAAGACAACCACCAGTCTCCCCATAGGTATGATGACAGAATCACCTGAAATGGAGATTCAAGACAGATCAAATGTTAATTTCTTGAAATGTGGAAATAAACTTATTAAAACAAAGAGATTTCCAGTAGAAATAAAGACTGGAAAATAATGCTCCTTCCCCAGTACCTGTGACATCGAAAGAATTATGAATATACTTCCCCAAAATAAAAATGCTGGTGCCACAGTCTGAAAACCTGGGGTATAGTTCAACATGAACATTAGTCAGCTAATTATCTAGTTTAAAGTTGGTTATTTATTTATTTATTTAGGAGAGGTTTTTGCTATAGGGCATATGCACTCGCCAGAAAAGACAGAGAGATAGAAAGCGAGAAATAACCACCCTGCCCCGGGTGGGGTGGGTGGCCATGCCGCAGTCTCTTCTCCTCCATTCTCCTCTTGGGATCTTGGGCACACATGCACATGTGCCCGGCCTGAGTTAAAGCCACCAGGCTCGGGATTTGAACTGTGGTTGGCCATGTGGGAGTGTATTGCACCCCAACCAGCATGCCACCTGCTGACCCTCCTGTTGTTTTTTTAAATTGACTGAGGATGAGTGTGATTGCCAAAGAGACAGAAAGAGAAAGGGAGAGGGAGGAAGTGCTCCCCAGTGGAACACGGTCACACTGCATCCCCTCTTCCATTTCTGTATCCTTTCTGTCAGGATTTTGGGCATCCATACACACACAACCAGCATGTTTTACAAGCCACCAGGCTGGGATCGGAACTGCAGTTAGCCATGTAGGATGCAGCCCCCCGCTTATTATTTTTTTTTGGAGAGGTTTTTGCTATATGGTGCATGTACTTGCCAGAAAGACACAGAGAGACAGAAAGCGAGAAGTCACCCCCTGGGGGGATGGCCACACCACAATCCTTTCTCTTCCACTCTCCTCTTGGGGTTTTGGGTATGCATGTACATGTGCCTGGCATGAGTTTTAAGCTGAGACTTGAACCATCATCGACTATGTGGGAGTCCAGTGAGGGAACCATTATGCCATCTGCTGGTCCCCAAGCCCTAGGTCTTTTAACTAGTCCTAGTTCAAAATTTTAAAGTAAAGATTTTATTGTTTTAGAGGTTTTTGCCTTAGGGTCCATGTGCTTGTCAGAGAGACAGAGTCAGTGAGAGGGAAAGTAAGAAATCAACTATGGGGGGATGGCCATGCCGCAATTCCTTCTCCTCCATCCTCCTCCTAGGATTTTGGGCACATATGCACACACTCCTGGCTTGAGTTTGATGCCACTGGGTCCAGGACTCAAATCACGGTCGGTCATGTGGGAGTCCAGAAACTATATGCTGGTCCCAGGATAATTTTTTAAAGATTTTTGTCATAGGACACGTGCACTCACCAGAGAGAGACAGACACAGTGAGAGGGAGAGTAAAAAATCACCCCCTCGCCCCCAGGGACAGCCATGCTGCAAACCCCTCTCCATTTTCCTCTTGAGATTTTGGACATGAATGTACATATACATAGTGCGATTTTCAGGCCACCAGGTGTGGGACTCAAACTGTGGTAAACCATGTGGGAGTTCAGTGCCTTAACAACCATACCAGCCAGTGGTCCCAAAGTAAAAATAATGTTTTAAGTAAGGGAAGTGTTAAAGGTTTGTCAATTTTCCTCTTTTATAGGAAAGAAAAACTTTCACTTTTTGTCTCTTAAAATATAACTTTTTCTTAAAAGTTCTCATTAATGAAGTATATGTTTCAAACAATAATTTCTTTTTTGTAATTTCCAGAGGGCATGTGTGCTCACCAGCAGAAGAATCCCCCAATGGGGTGTGATCATGCTGCAATCCTTTTTTTCTCCATTTATCCATCCCATCGGGAGTTCAGGCATGCTTGCATATGTGCCCAGCATATTTTTCAAGTCTCTGAGGGGCTGAGACTCAAACCTTGGTCAGTCACCTGGAATCTAGCTCCCAATGTATAGTACTTAGCCACTATGCCACAGGGCCTGCCAAACATCACTTTGTTTCAATGAAATCTTTACTATATAGAGTTTGCAGGGAAGGGAAGAGGGAGTGATACCCAATGATGGGAAAAACTGTGCATCACTGTATTAAGTCTTAGAAAAATAAAATGTAAAACCCAAAAGTCATTGTTTTCTTAAATAAAACAGTTTGTTGATATATGTAAAAATCTTTTTTGTTCCATCTTTTAGAAATTAGAATGGCATTTGGTATAAACGGAATAAAAACAGATAATTTTAATGTTAGAAGTTAAGTGTCTATTTCTGAAAAGGTCAGTGGAATGAGAACACTTGAAGTAGTGATTAAAATGACAGGGAAATAATTATGTTAATTATAAAAACTAGTAACAGGGGCTGGCTCCATGGCATTGTGGGAATGCTCTGCTCAAGAGAAGCTGGATCCCACATGGTGACAATGGCTAGGATATCCAGCCTGGTGAGCTTGAAATGTACAGGGCATGTGAGTGAGTGCCCCCAAACTGGAGGACTGAAAGACAGGAGGAAGAGAATTTAGGCATGACCAGACTCTGTGGAGGATGCTCATGTCTCACACTCTCTTTCTCACTTTCATGTACATGTGCCCTATCATGAATAAAGAGAAACAATATTTAAAAATAGCGACAAAAAGGGCCTGCAGGTGATGCAGGGCTTAAAGTGCTGGACTCCCATATGGTTGGCCACAATTCGAGTCTAGCACCTGGCAGCTTGAAAATCTTGCTGGTTGGGATGCTAGTAGGTGGAGGAGTGGTTGTGAGGCTGGACTCCCACATGGTCAAGTCCTGGACCTGGAGACTTGAAATTCATACCAGGAGCATGTGCACGTGTGCCCAAAGTCCCAAGAGGAGAATGGAGGAGAAGGGATTATGCCATGGTCAATCCCTCTGGGGGTGATTTCTCACTTTCTCTCTCTCTCTGTGTGTCTCTCTCTGTGTCTCTGGCAAGTGCACATGCCCTATAGCAAAAATCTCATTGAAAAAAAGAAAAGAAAAGAAAATCATGCTGAGTGCATGTGCACGCATGCCCAAAATCTCAATAAGAGCATAAAGCAGAAGGGATTGCTGGTGGCCAACCCCTGGGGGGCCGGGGTGGGGAATTTCTCACTTTTCCTCCCTCTGTCTCTGTCTGTCTCTCTACAGCGAGCGCATGCACCCTATGCAAAAACCTAAAAACAAAACAAAACAAAAACTAGTAACAAAATGAATTTTTTCTTCTTGTGTATATCACTAATGTAGTTTTGGATCCATTTGACTAGGCCAACACTGTTTGCTTAATGTTATCTAAGTGCCCATGAGATTATTTAAAAAGAGCAAGAAAAACAACAAAGAAAAAAAAATTTAAAGGAAAAAAAAGAGAGCGAGAACCACATTAATAATGATATAGTGGAATAGTAATTTAATAGGAATACATACCAATCCATACAGCATTTCATATAGTACAGCACCAAGGCACCACCAATCTACCGTGTTGTCATAGGGCTGTTTTCTGATCACTTCAGGTGCAAGGTACTATGAAAAAGAATATTATTACAGCAACTCAATAAAAATTCAAGTCAAAATTTAGGAGAAATTGAGGAATTTAATTTTAGGTGTTACTATCACACTAAAAATGCTCTTTAGATTTACAACAGGTTGGGTGTTTTCATTCTGTAACAGTGGTTCTTAGCATCAGATACAGGCAATATTAACATTTTGCCACATTTGTTTTAGCTCATTAAAATAAGAAACAGCTTTATTAAGATACTCACCATGCAATTCACTCATTTCAAACTGTACAATTCGGTATCTGTTACCATATTCATAGAGTTGTATACCACCATTTAAATCACTGGCACATGATTTTTTTAAAAAAGGATTAAAAATATAACCAAATGGGGGGGCCAGCAGGTGGCATGGTGGCTAGGGGGCTAGACTCCCACATGGCTGACCGAAGTTTGAGTCTTGGACCTGTTGGCTTGTTTTCTCTATTTCCCTCTCACTTTTTCTCTCTCTCTCTGGTGAGTGCATGTGTTCGGTAGAAAATGGAAAAAAAAAAAAAAAAAAAAGAAAGAATTCCTTTAAAAATAGAATCAAATGCTTAAATAAGTCTAAGGTAAATTCTTTTTAAAAAGTTATTAAATTTGCAATAGGATATATGCACTTGCCAGAGAGAAGAGAGAGACAGAAGAAAAGTAAGAAAGCAGCCCCCAAGGGAGATGACCACACAGCAACCCCTTCTCCTCCATTCTCCTCTTAGGATTTTGGGTATGCATGAACTTACACATGGTGTGTTTTCTTTCTTTCTTTCCTTTAAAAAATTTTTTTATTTATTATCATTATTTTAGTTTTTTGAAGTTGACCAGAGAGAGACAAAGAGAGTGAAGGAAAGTGAGAAAGCATACTGCCGAACCGTGGTCAGCAATGTGGGAGTCCAGCTGCCTTAACCACCATGCCACTTGCTGGCCCTACATGGTGTATTTTCTAATTGGCTGGGTTTGGAACTTGAACTGCATACTTGACCATGTGGGATCCAGTCACCTGAACCACCATGCTACCTGGCTGACCCAGTGTAAGGAAAACTCTTTGTTAGTTTACTCAAAAGGGACTTGCAGTATCTCATAATAGGTTAAAAATACCAACTATTAATGAATTCTAAATGTTCAGAAGGGAGGATTTTCAGGTATCACCAGCTAGCTGAAAGTTGAAATGACCATTTTTATTCTACTTTCCTTATTTCAAATTTGTATATGCAATTTGTGATTCATATTTGCATTTTATACATGATTACATGAATGAGAAATGAGACATAATTCTTACCTCTGGTGTCCCACAAAATGTGGTGGTGGTGTCAGAAATAGCAATTCCTTCTTTACAAAGCCCAAAATCTGTTAAGACCACATGTCCCTGACAAAGACAGGGGCAGTTAAGATAAAACAATGCATGGACATAAATTCATAATTTCAAAACCCTTTTTATTCTGACATAATTATAGACTCACAGCAAATTGCAAAAATAGCACAGTCTGGTATCCACCTCACCCAGATCCCCGTGAAGCTGTGTTATATAACTGCAGTACAGTATCACACAGGAAAACTGACACTGGAACAGCACTGTGAACCAGACTTCAGTTTTCACTATCTATCACATGCATGCTTTTGAGAGTGTACATAACCCGAATCAATATTGATGTATACGTCTGGTGTCATGACCACCACAATCAAGGCGGAGAACTATTCTATCACAAAGGAAACCTTTCGTGCTACCCCTTTGTCTTTGAACTCTCTATTCTCTTGGACCTTGTCCCCCATAACCACCAATCTGTGCTAGCTGTCTATTTGTCTTTTTTTTTTTTTTTTTTGAGAGGTTTTTCACTATAGGGCGTGTGCGCTCGCCAGACAGACAGAAACAGAGACAGAAAGCGAGAAATCACCCCCCAGGGGGATGGTCACACCGCAATCCCTTCTCCTCCATTCTCCTCTCGGGATCTTGGGCACGCACGCACACACACCTGGCGTGAGTTTTAAGCCACCGGGTCCGGGACGCGAACCACGGTCGACTACATGGGAGTCCAGCGACATAGCCATTCCGCTAACTGCTGGTCCCTGTGCTAGCTGTCTATAGTTTTGTTGTTTCAAGATTATTATACAGATGGACTCATACGTACAGTGTGAAACCTGACTTCTTTTGACCAAGCATCACAATGAACAAAACTGTGAACTAGTAGATTTTTTTTCAAAGACAATACTTACCATTGAATCCAAAAGAATATTTTCTGGTTTCAAGTCTCTGTCAAAGTAAAAGGAAAGAAAATCAGAACTTAGCAGTAACAAACACAACATTAAAAAGTCAGCTTACAAGTAATATTTTAAAAATGTACCTGTACACTATTTTGATGGAATGCAAATAACCCAGTGCACTGGCAATTTCAGCAGCATAAAACCTCGCTCTGTGTTCAGGAAAGGACCGTTCTCTTTGTAAGTGAAAAAACAGCTATAAAATCAGAGGATAGGAGGCTGTTAGGATCATTCACACATACCATCAAGCTAATATATTCTGTAGCTATGAAAGTAGGAATTATTTTTGTTACTTTGAGCATGAGATAAAAATGTAACACAACTGTGATTTTTCCCTTTTCCACGTCCCCACCTAACAATCATTCTCTCTCTTGAACTTCATATCTTCGTTTACTCTTGCTAACATTCCTCCTCTCCCATTTACTCCTCAGGCCTGAATGTGGCAGCATCCTCACCTTTCCAGGAAAGCCCTCTGGAAAAGACTATCAATGAAGATGAACAATCTTGATATTGACATGCAATTATCTTATTGTGCCTTTCTGGACTATTTTTTCCTTTTAAAAAAACACGCTATTAAAAACTACTAACTAGCAAAACAAATATAACACAGATATAATCTGCTTCAGCCAGACACTATTTTTAGAAAAAAATCTGAGTTAGAAACTAGAATTTTTTTTTGGTAGAAATTCATATTGCATCTCTGCACCATTAGGTCCAAATTCCAATGTAATGGTAGCAACTGAATAGAGCTAAACACCAGCTAGATTCTCCAGTTCATTTCTTTTCTTGCCTTTTTTTTTTTTAAGTTTATTTCTTTCTTCTGTGAGTGAAAAGGATGAAGGGAGAGAAGGAGAGAGAGAGAGCAAACATGCCCAACAGGCTCCTGTTGCTGTGATCCACCACCAGTTTTCAGCCAGCTGAATTATCACCACGCACATGCCTGAGAGGTCTTCGGACTAGAATCAGGAATCTTCCCATGTGGAATTGCCTCACAGAGTACTGTGTTTTATGGCTGGGCTACTATCTCCCCCTCCTCCACCCCTGTTTATTTCTAATAGTTCCTAATTATTATTATTATTATTTTTAAAGGTTTCTGCCAATATTATATGTGTGCTCACCAGAGGGAGACAAGGAGAGGGAAAATGAGAAACCACTGCAATCCCTTCTCCTCCTAGAATATTACGAACACATGCACAATCATGTGGCATGGTTTTATTTTTTTAAAGACATTTTTGGTTTAGAGTGCATACACTTGCCAGAGAGAGAGAGAGACAGACAGACACAGTGAAAGGGAAAGTGAGAAATTGCCCCTCCCCCCTTTCAAGCTACTGGTTCTGGTACTCAAACTGCAGTCCACCTGGCATGATTTTTAAGTCACCATGTCTAGAACTTCAACTGGAGTCAGCCACATGAGAATCCAGTGCCTTAACCACCACACCACCTGTTGCCCCCTAGGTTCCTAATTCTTATTTTTTACAACCTGTTCCTTAGCCATTTAGTTTCCTGTCTGGGGAAAGTTTGCACTAGGTTCTTTGGCTTCTAAGACAATAATATTTCCTTGGGTCTTCTACTCCGTTGGAGAATTCCATCAGGAGCCAGAAAGGCTCCAGATACTGCAGGGTAATAGGGTTTCTCCTCTCAGACCTGTTATTCTTTCTGCAGGTATCCTTCCCAGGTAACCTAATCCTCTCTAATGATTTTAACTACCACTTCCATGTTGATGTCTCCCACAAGGACATCCCCAGGCCTGCCCAGAAAAGCTTTTACTGCAAAGACCAATTGCCTGCTGCTCTTTCTTACAAAAAATATTTTACAAGCCAACAAATTAAACTTGACTAAAACAGAGCCCCTTATGTTCTCCTGCAGAGTTACGGTTGCTATTACATTCTCTCTGGTCTTCTAAGCCAGGGGAGGAAATAAGCATGAGGCAAAGAGTCAGGTTTTAAAGCTGATCAGACTCAGATTCAAATCCTGGTTCTTTTCTTATGGGGGAGTTTATTTAACCTCTCTGATTCTCAAAGATTGCTGTTGTTTCTTCAACAATAACCTCTTCTGAGAGGTTGTGTATAAAGGCCGGTTATAGCAGATCCTGACAGGGACAAATGGGAGTGGACCTGAGTTTCACCTGAACTGCTCTTTTCCCCTTAACCCGGACACACACCCAGTGAATAAATTCTGTTTTTATCTTCTCATTATTTCTGGAACACTTCTGCCTTTTTACCCCTACCACTGCTTTTATCAGTGGTGGCCTGCCATGGTAACTATACTCCTAAGACTGATCTCCTAATCCCGTCTGTCCAACATACTACTTCTACTGCCAACAACCTACAGTGAACATTTGACCATGTCACTAATAACAGCCAAGACTGATTGTTTACTAGATCAAAAGGTACTACACTAAGGACTTCATATGTTTGTATTATTTAATCCACTCAACAATGCTGAGGTAGGAAATTAATTAGGAAGCTAAAGCTCAGAAAGCCTAACTTATCAGCCTAGTATCAGAAGACTTATTTGTTTATACTCTACTTTTCTTCAAAAAAGATGTGAAGTACTATAAAAAAAATAAGTATTACATATCAAATATAAACATTAGGGGGAGAACCACAGTATTTATTAATAATAGGGCAAACATGATGAGACCACACTTACTCTGCCTCTCTCTAGCCTTTCTCCTCATCTTTATTTCCTTTCTACTTACCAACCCCCCACTTAAGGCCTCCTCCACTCACCCCAACATTCCAGTATATTTCGTTCTCTTAGCCAAGCGCATGATTTAGATGGCAAGTCTACCTTTCCCATCTTTGCTGCTCAGTTTATGAGCAGTAACTGTAAAAAGGGCCCAATAGTCCTAAAACAGCATGAAGAGACCACAGATATAGCAGAATCTTGTAGTAGGATCTCATTGGCAGTTGGATGCCTCTCATCAACAATTCAGAGACACAGGGTGGTCCCTAAGAACGGGCTCTGCAGTCTAGGTTAAATCCAGGTCCCCACACTTACGAGAACATCATGACACTGAGAAAGTTACTCAGCCTCTCTGAGACTCAATTTCCTTCTCTATAGTATAAGCACAAGAGTATTTGCCTCAAAGAGCTTTGATGATTAACTGAAATAATGCATGTAAAATAATTGCAAAGTGCTAGACTCTCAATAAATTCTCATTACTTGTTAGCATTCGGACATGCACAAAACATATATAAAATGACAACCTTAAATGTAGCAATAATGCCAGGTCATCTACCCTGAATCAGGGTTCCTAGGGGACTCAAAATCTTGCCTTAGAGACTGAACTATGAATCAGCAGTAAAGTATGATGCTTGGCTAGGCTGATCCCCATGGGAAGACTCAGGGATCATGCCCAGAACCCGCCTCCCCCCCCAAGTATATTGGCATATGTGTGCCCATGATCTGGGGCAGTTAAAGGTGGGTGTGGATGGAGACACCATGACCCTGTTGGGGGTGCTGTCTCACTCTTTCTTTTTGTTCATGCAAGAAATGATTAAATAAACTTAAAAAAAAAATACAGTCTCTTGGGCCAGCTGTGACATGGTGGCTAAGGGGGCTGGATCCCATGTGACTGAATGTGCAGTTTGAGTCCTGGACCCAGTAGCTTGAGAAACATGCCAGGCACATGTGTGTGTGTGTGCCCAAAACCTTGAAAGGAGGAAGAAATGGAAGAGAAGAAACTGTGGCATTACCATCTCCCATCAGGGATGCTATCTCACTTTCTTTGTCTCTTTCTGGTGAGTATGAGTACATGTACTCCCTAGCAAAATATTAAAAAGACAAAAAACATCCTGCCTCTGCACTGATGAGTCTTAAAATGGTTCTGTCACAGATGAAGTGAGTTAAATAACAATTTTTACAACCTTCCCCCCCAAATTATCTTTGTATGTCTAATCATCATTTAGATATAAAAACTAAATAAAAACTGTTCTTTCTTCTAGTTCCTTTATTCTATGGCTTAATGTTAATACAGTAAGATTGAAATACTCTTTTTCTACTCTATCTGCTCTGAGATTACCCCTAAAGACAGAAGAGTATCAGTTAAGATCATTTTTAGGTCAAGCCATGGTGGTGCAGTGATATAGCACTTTGCAATGCTGGAAGCCATATGGAAGACTGGGGTCTGGTTCCGAAGCTTTCTTGTACATACAGAGGAAGAGTGGATGTGACTGTGTTCCTGGCTAGCTGAGAAGGGCTGAAGAATGTGGCATGAAAGTCTGTTGAATGTGCTTGTTTGCCCTTCCTCTTTTCTCTCTCCCTTACTCTCTCATGACAGATGGAGATAAACTAAAAAAAAAAAAAAATTCTTTAGAGAAATTCACATATAAAAATCAAACAAATTAGAAAGTATGAGGTTTGAGAAGTAGAAAAACAGGAGTAATCAGCTGCCTAGATTTTGAAATCAGACTTCCTGAGGTCAATTCCTGCCTAATACTTACTAACCATATGACTTCCACAAGTTACCTAGTTTCTCTGTGCCTCAGTTTCTTTTATATTAAAAAATTAACCAGGTGCCATTTAACTCCAGTCAGAATGGCTATGATCAAAAAGATAAAGAATGACAAGTGCTTGTGAGGCTGTGGTGAAAGGGGAACCCCCTTCAGAGTTTACCTTAGACTTATTTAAGCATTTGATTATATTTTAATCAATCCTAATGGCGTGATTTCTCACTTTCCCCCTCACTGTCTCTCCCTCTCTCCAGAAAGTACACGTCTTAGGGCAAAACCTCTTTAAAAAATTACAATGATTGGGACCAGCAGTTAGCATAATGGCTATGTTGCTGGACTCCCACATAGTCGACTGCGGTTTGAGTCTCGGACCCAGTGGCTTAAACTCACGCCGGGCGCATGTGTGTGTGTGCCCAAGATCCCGAGAGGAGAAAGGAGGAGAAAGGATCGCAGAGTGGCCATCCCCCCTGGGGGGTGATTTCTCGCTTTCCGTCTCTCTGTCTCTCTCTGTGTGTTTGGCAAGTGCATGCACCCTATAGCAAAAACCTCTCCAGAAAAAAAAAATTACAATGATTAAATGTAACTAATTTTTTTTTAAAGGTGATTGTGAAGATAAAATAATATAAACAAAGAATCAGAGCTGGGCACATGAGTACATATCAGGTATTACTGCATTTATCATAACAGCAGCATTTCCCAAACTGTATTTCAATATCCCTCTGAATCAGTTTTGGGGGCTATTATTAATGGATTTGGTTCAAACAAAAAAGGCAACTGCATGGCAAAAAAGAAAAAGAAAAAAAAGAAATTCTTTAAAGAAATTCTCATTTTGTTTAAGGCAAAATTTCTCAAAGTCATTAACATGCTGAAACATACTGTGAGTCACCAAGGAGGAGTTACAACATGGAACGTTTCCCAAACTGACATCATCATAGAGCCCTTTATTAAAAGATTATCTCATCTGATTAATAGTTTGTACATTTTAGAAAATGACAGACTGAAGTAGTATTTATATGCAGCTGTTGAAATAATAATTACCTAAATTACAAATCCTGTTTTTATTTTAATATTTCAGTATATTATTATTGTTATATAGGTTAGTGACAAATCTATCCATGAAGTCTATGGCTTTGTACCAATGGTCTTTTAGGAACCTTCCCAGCTGCACCATATGCTGAAGAGCCCTGTGTTATACTTCTCCACATCCTGTTTTTATTTACACAGTACCCTGAATATTGTTGCAACTCAACAAACAGTTGATAATTCACTGTCCTCCTAAAACTTAGAAGAAAGGAAAAACTTAAACTTATTTTTCTAAACATTAATATTAGAAAACTAAGTGTAAAACTTACCTCTCCTCCATTAACAAAATCCAGAACAAAGTAAAGCTTTTCAGTTGTTTGGAAAGAATAATGTAAACCAACCAGAAATGGATGTTTCACATTTTTCAAGAGCACATTACGTTCTGCCATAATATGCTTTTGCTGGAAAAAAAGATAAAAGATCAATTTGTATTATGCACCACAAAAAATTTTTGCTAATTGAGAAAATGGACTCAGGAGAAATGATAGCTATTTTATTTTACCTCTTTTCTGTTGAGAACTATTTTTTTCTGTAGCACTTTGACAGCATAAAATTTTCCATCCATTTTCCGTTTTGCAAGAAGAACCTGTTGTAGTTAAAGATTTGAGTATACTATTAGAAATGTCAATATTTTGATACGAATAATTCCCTTGTCAATAAATGTATACTTCTTGAATTAAAAATAAAATTGCTAGAGGGTGCATGTACTCATAGAGAGAAAATGTAAGTGAGAGGACCTCCTCCCAGTAGAGGATGGTCAGATCACAATTCTTTCTTTCTCCTTCATTTCTCATCTTTTGGGATTGTGAACATGCATGCACACATGCCTAGTGTGATTTTCAGGCTGCCAGATCTAGGACTTCAGCTGCATGACTGTCCATGTGGGATTCAGTTGCCTTAACCATGCCACTGGCTGCCTCCAAAATGAATTATTTTATATATAGGTTTCTCTTACAAGTTTTGGATTCTGAAGAGTTTAGAGGAAGAAGTACCATGTATAACTGAGTATTTGTAATGGGCTGGGTTGCATGCAGACACTTAGGAATCTGAAGAAAACTAGAGGATCTCTCATCAGAAAAAGTTAGATATACTCAATCAAGCTTTTGTAAATAATTGTTAAGAGACTCAAGATTGCTCATAAGCTAAATTGTGTAACAAGTAAATAACAGGTTATGGGCTTTTTAAGATCACCTGACATAGGAACCAGTGATAATACTGGGCCTTCCTTCCCAGTTATCTCGTTGGTCTTCCCTCTCAAAACATTGAACCTAAGTCTGCGTATGTAAAAACATCAGGTGAATCCTACTAGAAGGTCTTCCTACAGTATATTTGACCAGCATGCCTCAAAACTATCAAGGTCATCGAAACGTGGAAAGTCTATGAAACTATCACAGCCAAAGAGAAGCCTAAGGGGACATGACAGATAAATCTAACGTGGTATCCTGAAGGGGATCCTACAACAAATAAGGACTTCAGCAAAAAACTAAGGAAATTTGAATAAAGGATGGACTTGAGTTAATGTTGACATGTCAATATCAATTCATTAATTGGAAAAAATGTGCCATCGTAATGTAAAATGTTAGTAAGCAAGCAAACTGTGCGCGAGAGAGAGGGTTGGGAACTCTGTTCTTTCTGCTTAACATTTCTGTAAATCTAAGACTGTTTTAAAACAGTCACTAACAAAATCTGTTACTGATAAAGATGGAATAAATATATTTTCAGGGTTGAAAAACATCCTCGGCTCAACTACTGGCATTTTTCTCACTTACCATTCTCTTGTTCTCTACAGTGTCAGACTTGGTCAAACATTCCTTCCTTTCTAAATTTTTCCTTGACAATTTCCCACCTGTCTAATCTTTTCTTCTCTAATATTTTGGCCAGTTTCTCTTCAAGTACATTCCAAGAAAAAAATTCAAATAATGTGGCAATTTGTAGGTACTAATTCCCTTCAAATAGGCCTCTTCCACAGCCCAACCCCAGTAGGGTAGCAAATTTGGAGAATAGACAAGTTAAAAAGCAAATGGGCGAATGGAAATTAAAACCAAGATCACACACTGGAGAAGAGTTTAAAATTAATAGGTTGCTATTATTTTATTATTATTTTTTTTAGGTTTTTGCCATAGATTGCATGTGCTCTCTGGAGAGAGAGTCAGTGAGAGGGGCTGAGAAATCACCCCTCAGGGAAGATGGCCACACTGCAATCTCTTTACCTCCATTCTCTTGTTGGGATTTGGGGCACACATGCACACATGGCTAGTGTGATTTTCAAGCTTCCAGGTCCAGACTCAACCCATGGTCAGCCATGTGGGAGTCCAGCGTTGTTAACCACCATGCCACTGCTGGCCCTAGATTGCCATTATCTATGTTCGGTTTATCACACATATTTTCCTTTTTTTTTCAAACAGATTGTGAATTTAGATTTGGTTTATTTTCCTTTTCTTATTTTCCTTTTCTTTGTTTTATTATACTTTGTTTCTAATGATTTTCTAAGATTTAAACTTTAATTTCCAGAAGGTACATGTGCTTGCCAGAAAGAGGCAGAGACGAGACAGGAAAGGGGAAGGAAAACATCCCTCAATGGGGTATGGTCACACTGCAATCCCTTCTCTTCCATTTCTCCACAGTTGTCAGGATTTTGACATGCAAACACACATGCCTGGAATGCTTTCTAAGCTATGAGGGCTGGGATTCAAACCACAGTTGGCCATGGGGGATATGGCTCTTTTAACCACTGGGGTATGGGGCTAACTCAAGATTTCAAATTTTTATTAAACAAAGTATACATTTAAAAAAACCTCACAAATCATTTTAGCTGCATAAATCCTTACAAAGTGAACACACCTATGTACCCATCATCCAGGTCAAAAAATAAAACACTGCCAGTGGCATGAAGCCTTTCTTTTGTCCCCAGGCCAGTCACTACTAATCCATCTTCTCCTCAAAGGTAACTACCACTATCTCAACTTGCAATTAACACAGGTAAATTTTGCCTTTTTCTTAATTTCATGTAATTAAAATCACATGGATCAATTTGCCTCTGTTTCACTTTTTTGTTTGGTTTTTAGTTTTCTGTTGTTGTTGTTGTCATAGGGCACGTGTGCTTGCCAGAGAGAGACAGTGAGACAGTGAGAAATCACGTCCCAGGGGGATGGCAATATCCCCCTTCCTCTTGGGATTTTGGAAAATTAAGCACCTGACTTGATTTTCAAGTCATTGGGTCCAGAAATCAAATCGTGGAGTTGGCCATGTTGGATCCAGCCCCCTTACCACTATGCCATTTGCTGGCCCTATGTTTCTTGTCTCTCATGAATATTCATTAATGTTGTGGCAAGTAGCATAGTTTTCATTGCTGATCAGATTATTACATCATAGGGCATATCACAATGTACCTACTCTTTCACTGATATAGCCTATGAATGATGTTACAATATTCCTGCCCACACCTTTTCCAGTGCATATCCATTTTTGTCGAATATATAGCTATGAGGAAACTGATATGTTATGTAATATATACATTCGACCTCAATAACTAACACCAGTCTTCAACAGCAAAAAAGACACAAAAAATACTTAGGAATAAATCTAATTAAAGAAATGCAAAAATCCTAAATGGAATGCTATAAAATATTATTAAGAAAAATTAAAGATAAACTAAATAAATAATGGGATATACCACAGTCATGGATAAGAAGACTAGATATTGTAAAAATGACAATTCTCACCAAATCATCTACAAATTTAACACAATCTCAACAAATTCTAGCAGAGCCTATGCAGAAATTGACACTGTGATTCTAAACTTTAAATAGGTATAGAAAGTCTCTTAAACAAGAAAAGGGAGAGAAGACTGGTTCTGTGGATCAAGCTACAGTTTTCAACTCATTGTGGTATTAGTGCAAACACAAACAATAGACTAGAAAAATAAAAGATGAACTGTGTAAATGGAAATATAAAACATAAAACCCCACTCCCTGACCCCAAAATATACTGTAAAGCTGTGATAATCAAAACAACTTGGTATTGGCACAAAAACAGACAGGTGAATCAATGGAATAGAATAGAGACCCCAGAAATAAAGCCCCAAACATACAGCCAACTAATTTTTGACAAAGGATACCAGTCAATCCAGTGGGAAAAGGAAAACCTCTTTAGCAAATAGTGCTGGAAAAACTGGGTATCCACATGCAGAAAAATGCAACTGGATCTCCATCTTTTACTATTAACAAAAATCAACCCAAACTGGGTCAAAGATCTGAACCTAAGACCTCAAACTATGAAACTACTGGTAGAAACACTGGGGAAACTCTGGGAGACACTGGAGTAGGCAAAGGCTTCTTAAATAAAAACCCCACACTCAGGCAATAATCCCAAAAATAAACAAGTGGGATTACATTGGATTAAGAAGTTTCTGCACAGTGAAGGACACGGTAATTAGTGTGAATTGATAACATTCAGAATGGGAGGATCATTTTGTAAACTATGACTCAGATAAGAGACTGAACCAGAATACACAGGGAACTCAAGTAGCTTACCTGGAAAAAAAAAAAAAAAAGATTAACCCAATTAAACGATGGAAAAATGGGCTGAACAAAAAACTCTCTAACACGAACAGCTGAAAAGCATATAAGGAAATGCTCAACATCCCTCATCATGAGGGAGATGTGGATTAAAACCACAATGAGATACCACTTAACCCAGTCATAATGGCGAAGATTAAAAATACAAAAAATGGTAAGTGTTGGCAGGGTTGTGGTGAAAGGGGAACTCTCCTACACTGCTGGTGGGAATGTAAATTGGTCCAGCCACTGTGGAAAACAATACGGAGGTTCCTCAAAGAACTACAAATAGAACTACCATATGATCCAGCAATTCCATTCCTGCGTATATACCCAAAGGACAGGAGAATGCTCAGTAGGAAAACCTTTTGCACATCAATGTTTATTGTAGCATTATCACAATTGCTAAGACATGGAACCGATTCAAATGTCCAGGAACAGATAAATGGATTGAAAAAGTGTGGTACATATATTGTGGAATATTACTCAGACATAAAAAACAAGACCCTGGCATTTGATAGAAAGTGGTTGAATATGGAAGATTTATTGCTGAATGAAGCAAGCCAGGCTATGAAAGAGACACATTGTATGTCTCCACTTAATATATACCAACTGTCCACACTCTATGGTAGAGACCAAAAGATTTGAGGACATAAAAGCCGTCAAAATAGATATGAACACTGGAGACAGTGTGGAAGGAGGGTGGGAGGGGGGAAGAGTATAGGGAAGAAGATCAGGAAGAAGAAATAGAGAACAAGACATTTGTGGGACACAGAAATGGTTTATTATCTGCTGATGATAATGTATATAATATTCTCAACCGGACTGGTTTGAGGTGTATTTCATGTTGGCTAAATTCTCTTTATAAGCCAAATGATGTATAGGAATTGAATGTTTAAAGTAATAATAATAGCAATAAAATGGAATTTTACAAAAAAGGAATTAAAAACATAAAATCCAAAGACAGATCTGTGAAATGTAGACAGTGGATATATGACAGATGCCTCGCAGGTCAGTGGGCAAAGAACAGTCTTTTCATAAATTGTGTAGGATCAGCTGGATATCCATATAAGAAAAAAAATGAACTGCAATCATACACCTCACATGGTGACTCTAGATCTAAACATGAACTTTCTAAAAGATACAAAAAAAAAAAAAAAAAAAATTCCCAGAGTGCATCTGAAGAGAAACAGAGAGAAAAAGTAAAAAAGTACTTTACATGAGGCATAATCACACCACAATTCCTTCTTCTCCACCTCTCCCTCCTTTCAGGATTTTAGGCACGCATGCACACACACCTGGAGTGTCTTCTCAGCCACCACGTCTAGGACCTGAACCATGTAGTAGGCCACGTAGGATCCAGCTGCCTTAACCACCAGGCCACAGCCTGGCCTGGCCTGATAATGCTTTTTCTTTCTATTTTTATTTATTTATTTTTAAAAGATTTTTGCCAAAAGGTGCATGCGCTTGCCGGAGGGAGACAAGACAGAGAGATACAGAGAAGGACAAAGAGTGAGAAATCATCCTCTAGAGGGGATAGTCATGCCACAATCACTTCTCTTCCATTCTCCTCTAGGGATTTTGGGCACACATTCACATGGAGTGTTTTTCAAGCAGTCAGGTCCAGGACTTGAATCCATGGAATTGGCCAGGTGAGATTATCTAGATCCTTAACCACATGTATCTTGCTAGCCCAGATAATGCTTTTGTTTTTAATGACAGACTATTCCTGGCATCCCAATGGAATTGTGGCATTTTGAAAGCAGGATCTATTTCTAACTCCCCATTGCTTATACTAGCATGATGTCTTGCACAGGGCAGGTGATCAATATATATGTGTTGAATGAATAAACACATATGGCTTTAATTGTATGGTCAATTTCTAGTGTCCAGGGAACTCAGAAAACAAACTAGAGTTACCAAAAGCAATAACTACAACAAAACATAATAAACATGTACACATTCATTTTTACTTCAGATTGGACAGTAATGCAAAAGAGCTTTTAACGCTATTTGATTACAGCTTCATCTATGATGCTCTTCCTTGTAACACCAGCCTTAAGAGATTCTCCTCCCTTGGTGTGGCTATGCTGTCAAGTTATGTGATTCATCTGACACTGGAGAGGAATAAGTATGGCCTTTACACATTCCTTTTTTCCCCAAATGATTATTTACACAGCTGCTCATTTCTGTCTTTCTAGTCTGAGCTTAAATAGCTCATCTTCAAAGAAGCCATCCTTGACCAGTCCAGCTAAGGGGGACTGACCCTATTGTTCTGCACTCTGCCTTGTCCTTCATTTCCTTTACAACCCCAGTACTATCTGTAAATTATTTACTTGACTGTATATTTTTAATTGA